CCAGTTGTTACAAATCAAATTGTTACAAAGAACGGTGGTTTGGATTTTGGTGAAGCACCAAAACTCTGTAACCTAACCCATCGCTTGACAACACCGTCACCCCCAGTAAACAAGAAGATCTTCGAAGCCTTTTCCAACGATCCTGTTGAAGAAACTGGTGAAACCAATCCACTTGCCAAGTACTTTTCAACGCGAGGAAATACATCATCTACCTCAAAGAAAGCGGCTACTCCAACACCGTCACCATCAGTAAACAAGAAGATCTTGGAAGCCTTTTCCAACGATCCTGTTGAAGCAACTGGTGTAACCAATCCACTTGCCAAGTATTTTTCAACACCAGCTCCGGAAGTTAAAACAACTGTTAAGGTCGAGAAGTTTGTTGAAGTTAAAGCACCAACTTCAACCCTTCCACCAGACGAATACGTCGTTGAACAAGTTGTTGAAAACTTAGTTCAATCAGCCATTGAAGTTGGACCAACATCACCAACTTCGACACCTCCACCAGACGAAAACATCTTGAGGTCCGTTGCAAAAGATTTAGTTCAAGCAGCTATTGAGACCAGCAAAGAAGAGTTAATATCCGAGCAAATATCGCGTTTTGATTCATCTGCCTCTCAAGTTAAGAAGTTTGTAGAAGTTCAGGCGTTATTATTAAAAACGTCGACTTCGACCGTTCCACCAGACGAATACATCTTGACGGCCGTTGCTAAAGACCTAGTTAAAGCAACTATTAAAGCAAGTCAGGTGGATTTATTCTCCGAAGTAACATTGTTAGACAGCTCCTCCTCAGATCAGCCTTGTAAGAATAAGATGTCAAACAATCAACACTCGTCGGCACACGAGTTCTTTGACAGCTTTGGTTCATCTGATTCCGGCACTGCACCCTTTCATCGTGTTGACCACGTTCTTTAACGCCTAACAAGAATCAAACATCGTTCCCGGCCTTGCCACCAACATCGAATGCAGCCGAGCAACGTTTTGTATCGCCAGCGACAAACGCTCAAAATTTTGAGCCAGCAAATCTGAGCGCGTATGCACATCCACGTCAAAATGTAGAAGACCACGCCATGTCGATGCAAGAACCATCATATGGGGCACAGGAGCGATATTCAACAGCTCAACTCTTTAGTGAAGCTGGTGCTTCAACTACTAAAGAAACACCTCATGCCAAACAGCTCTCGGATGCTGAGAACCATGCAACATTGACTCCACCATCTTACGGGTCAAATTTGCCAGAACAGCCTTCTGCCCATACTGGAAACGACCTGTTTAACGTGGCAAAATCATCTACTCCTGGTGGTGGAACGTCACAGTTGTTTTCCGGGCAGCACCAGAATGATCCTTTCAAAGGTTTTAGTTCTAGTCAGGAGGAGAGCCGAAGATTTCCTTCTTTTGTAGCAGGAGATGGAGTGCCTGGTTTTTCGATCAACACCGATGCACAACATTCCTTTCAGCATACAGAAGCATCAGAGAAAGAACCTAAAGTAGGGAGATGGCCTTTCGACCACAGTGAATCGGCAGCATCTCAAGTTGAACCACCTTCCAGTCGAGACCAAAACACCTACCATGCATCTTCAGCTCAAAACTTGCACGCACCGCCATCGAGTTCAACTTTTCCTGATTTTGACCAGAAAAATTATTCACTTGGGGACACAGCCACAGTATCGTCTGATTCAGCTATGGCATTCAGTGGTATTCCTAGACCCAATACCGTATTGGGTAACCAGAGTAAGACTTCTGGCGAAACATTACCAGGCCAAGACGTTGTTGAAACTTACGATCCAATTGGAAAACAACCAGTTGAACTTGCCAGCAATTTATATACCATTGAACGCAACGCTTTTCCAGCTGTTCAATCTACAACTTCTGGTCTATATCCACCAGCAATGGTGAATGATGCTATTGACCAAGCCGCTGGTCCATCGTTGCAGAGTGTAACGCCGGCTTTCTACCCACCAGGTTTAACAACCAGCAAACCAGTAGGTCAAAGCGGCTCCTTGTACCCACCGGGAATGGATCTTGGGGAATCAAGCAAATTTCCGCCGTCCAATATCAAGCGTGATGTAAACTCGGCACATTTGCCTCCGCCATCTTTAGAGATGACGAACACCACCAACAACAATGTTGGTGAACGTTTTTCTCCTGGGCACAACCTTTTCCCAGCCACTAAACCTGCCGCTCCAAGTCAAGGGTTCTTTATGGAAGACGGCCAAAAGTTCTTGGCACAGAATCAAATTCATCTATTTTCACCAGCTGGTGCTTGGACGTCAACAGAGGACCTAGCTGAGAACCATTCTGCGGCACAGAATTCCATTCCAACATCTTCATCGTATGCACCAATGGCAGGCTATCCTGGAGAAACCCAGTCGGCACAAAGGAAACTTGCTTCATCCCTCACGTGTGACAATGCCGTTAATTCTGAAGCGTCTCAGCCTGGATTTTCTATAAACAACGAGGAAAATAATCAGGCTTTACGTTCAGACGTTGTACAACCCGATACATCGCAGTTGGGACCAAGCAGCATGGTACCTTTTACTAGTAAAGAACAACTGCCCAGTAACCATCAAACAGCATGGCAACTGGCTACTCAGCTATTTGATTCGCAGGCATCAAGCGACGATGTCAAGGCTGAACCAACTCAGTGGGACGCTATTGATCCTCACGGTACTCCACGGAATACCCAACAAGCATCAACATTGCAACAAACAAGTGGACCAGTAAATGTGGGTGAAAAGTCCAGCGGGATTTTTTATACTCACCCATCGTCAAACGATCAGTCAGCACAATTTGGTAACCATGGTGCTGGCACTATCGGTTCAGCTAATCTTGAATCAAGTTTACCCAATTTGGACACCATGTCCGCTCGTGACGATGAATCTCGTGATGGTAATTCACTATCAGGTCACCAGCAAGTTCCAGCATTTGGTCACGAGCGAGTGGATTCACTCAATACAAGTGATCCCAAACTTGATACACCTCCGGCTAACACAAGCACCATCATCTCCAATGATGACCTAACAACAGCAAGCACACTCCACAACATTTGGGTGCTTCGGTTACCATGTTTCCTGTTGGTATGACACCACAGAACACCAATAAAGCATCTATTGCTTCGACCGAGACCAGAGGGAGTAACCCGTCGACCCGAACCAGCATCCGTCGGCCTTTATGCCAGTGAAGCCAAACTCCCCGAGCTCCCAAGACTACGAAGAAAGAGTTCGGCACTTAGAATCTCCGCTTCGTTCGCCAGTACAGCGCGAGAAAAAAAGGAAGCTTAATTCAAAGTGCTAAAATTCATACTTCTCTCTGGGACAATGATCCTCAATTGGCCATACCTGGTCTTATTGTCCAAACAGGGAATCGTGGAAATCAGTTTGTTCCAGTTTCCAGCCATGACCAATTAATCGCCATGGATTCGACAACAGTTCTCAAAGAGCTATGAATGTGCATGGCCAACCGCCAAGTTCCAGTGGTATTTCGATCGACCATAATGCCAAAATATCGCAGCAACCACATTCTAATGTCGCGCCATCAGATCTGGGTATTCCTGGCTTACACAGAATCGTAATCGATTCAGTAGTACTCCATCAAAGTTGCAAATCCACCTGTGGCCTCCAGCGCCGCTCAGCAAACCCTGTTAGGATGCTTTTGCAGAGAAGTGATTGTGACTCGACATTCATCTAGTCGCCAAAGTCACTTGGTGTTTCAAGTTCAAATCAAGAACTCGCCAGTGCAAACCCTGTTCATGAGTGATCGAAAAGCCATCTAGTCTTAACCGAGGAAATATCCAACGGTGAGTATGGCTCTCTACCAAGAATAGCGATTTTTCACACCTCGATCGAAACCCGTTTTTAAATCCGCACACAAACTAAGAAACTATTGTCTCACGATGGCCCAAAATCTCACACTACTAACCATAACCTAAAAATAACAATAATCTGAGATATCAGTAATCGTTTAGTAATTTTTTAGTTAAAGTAAAGAATATAGGAAGAATAATAAAATTCTAGGATGTATAGAGAGCAACAGAAGTGTTAGCAGGGTAGACGGAGGTTCTTACAAGACATTGTGCACGGATTTCATAATTTTTAAATTGCTCAGCTATTTGTTGTCTTACAATAATTATTTGTTTCTTCGGTATTAATTATTCATTCTTCGTAACCTGGGTTTATTAACCGTCATTTGAGACGTTAGAGTCAACGTGGACGACTCTAGGCTTAGAAGAAAGCATATTAAAATTAAGCGTTAATTAAGAGCTTAAAATTAAGAGTCTAGTTGTAGAATTAACGTATTACATTGTACAAATTTGCATTTTAAACTATCTCAAATATTAAATATAATACCGATATTAACTGGTACATAACGTAATAGTGTGACCTATTAATAAACGGCGTCAACGGATCAAAACCTATTCAGTAAAAAGTTTTCATGGTGTTTCTGGGGGCGAATTATTTATTTTGGTTTCAATTAACGAACTAGGCTGTTGATACTTTTAATTTTTTAGGCCAAATGTCATCCAAGCGCCTGTAGTAAACAACATTCCTTCCTCAAACCAGATTCCTGACCAGCACTTGCAACAGACTGCCCCTGCTTCTGGGACCATGACCGGTCTCCCCCAGAACTCCTTCACACATCCTGACGCCAGCCGCTCTGCAGTGCGTACCGGGTTGCCTCAGAGTGAGCATGCTCGGATGCGTGAATGTAGTGGTGGGGGAATGGTCCCTGAGTATGGTGGCGCCGATGGTCATGTTGACCATCCTGTTGCTACCAGTGATGGTTATGGTTCTGGCCAGATTGAAGGTATGGTTTCCTCGAGTGAACAGGAACAGCATCAGTTGTTATACCAACAGCAACAATTGCAGTACAAGCAACAACAGTACGAACAAATGCTGTTTCAAGATGAGTTCAGCTCGCAAAATCAGCAGCTGCGAGGAGGACACATGAATGTACAGCGACAAAGGTCAGAACCGAATCAGTTTACTCAACAACATCATTTGCAACAGCAACAACAGTTGCAACAGCAACAACAGTTGCAACAGCAGGCACAGGAGTACCAGCAGAATATTCAACATCAAAAAGTGGAAAGGTAAATGAGATATTTTAAAGTACTCTCCAATAGACTGTATAAAGTTCTTAAAACCACCTTAGGCACCGAAAGCAGTAGTAAAGTATTACAATATTGTATACGTAGAAGCCAATGTTTCTAGAACTTAGACTACATGACTACTATAGCGAAGTGGCCGGCAAGCACATTCACGAGATCATGAAATTACTGGCTAAATTTGTTAAAAACAAAATTGAAGTAATTTTTTGCACATTATCCTCTCGTGTTCAACTAAACAAATCCATCATTTGTAGGCAAATTAGCGGGCAATACCCACAGCAAGTTAGCAGCAATGTTAATCTACAGTATTCAACCAACGATACTGATCAATGGCAGCAGCATGGCAACACTGATACACAGTATGAAGATTTTGATTCAGAGGAGGAAAGCAATCGATATTATGATGAGAGCAGAAAGTGGTTTTGGTCTTTCAAAAGAGAACGGTGGATCCGTGCAGAGAAGTAAGTGCTGTTTTATGCGGAAGTGGTTTGAATTCAGACAACAGTATTTCTCATACAAACTATTTGTTTCAAGCAGCAGGCGAGAAAGCCAGTATGATGATCAACGATATCACAGATCTGACTCGAGAAGAAGTCGCAATCGTGAGCGAAGAAGAGAGAGCCAGGGTAGAAGAAGAACAGACTACAATGACCGAGCATATTATGATAAATATTATCGTGATTCTTATGATGGGATTACCATCGCGGGGAGTCTGGCTTTAGTGGGTCCAGTGGTGATAGTCAGCGGCGTGGTTCTCGTTCAGGACGATCATCTCGGGCGAGTCTCCACGTTCAGTTTCATCACGGTCGAGCTCGCGGGCTCGACGAAGTAACAACCGCCACTCGAAACGAACGGTCTACGACTATGAAGATTCGTAAGTTCTTAACTTTCACTGCATTCGAGAACGATTTGATGTAAATTACAAGGCTCCATTCCAAAGTGGACATAGATAATGTCCTTACTTACACAAAGCTTTTCATGGCTCATAGTTCTACATTTGTTTATGATTGAAAGAAAAGTAATAATACTTGCAACGTATTGTAATGAATGACAAAGTTGTTTACAATACTTTCGTGCAGTCGTCGAGCTCTTTAAGTCGACCTTCTCAATATTTTTTTTCAGTTATCGCAGAGGCGAGGACTATTATGGTCGAAGTCACCAATCATCCCGTAGCTCAAGACGATTGAGCTCAGGAAGTTACAGCTCATCCACGTCAAACTCTCTGGGAGACAGTATCAAGCGGGATGACCAGAACAAGCAACAACAGAGTAGTGCAATCGCCGCTGAAGATACGGTTAAACGGAGTAAGATTTAAGTAGAGTAGTAAACAGCGGTGGATGAAGCCTGGCGAGATATCAAAAATCCGAAGACCAAAGTTTAAAAATCATCAGAAACTTGTAGTTACCTTTATAGTACTGCACTGCATGGAATCGCTCGTTCGATAACTGTCACGAGGTCTTTCCAACAGGCTGGACTCCTAAGAAACCTGGTTGTTTATCCTTAGCTAAAATCGTAAATATATTTTCCACTGTTGTAGTAATTACTCCTGAACGACTAACCCCGAAGCAGCATACAAAACCTCATATTGTTGGAGCGTTTTCAACCGCCTCTCGATTGAGTGTTGCTCCAGCCAGACAGGTTCTGATGGTGAGACTGCTGAAGTGTACTTGACTGATGTCAAGGTAATCATATAGCTACGTCATATTAACTATTTCTGTACGTATAACTACACTGGGACGACACTTTAATACTGTTCTAGGCTTCTTGCGGAAGACAAATTCCAGTTAGATGTATTGGTATAGGTCTGAATGTCAGAGATAGTCATAGTCGTTTGTATAATAACAGCGGAGACAGAAATTCTGTGATATAGAACTGATGCTAGCTTTGTCTAAGCCTTATTTGTATAGATTTCTAGTTACAGTATTACACTCAAGACCAATAGTAGCGTATTATTCGACTTCCAGGGAGATCAGATAGATCAGAAACAGCAAGCGTTAGCTCTAATCAATCAGGTTGGTTATCCCTTGTCAATTGACAGGTTGCGACATACCTAAAATATTCTACAGTATAAATTGACGCATATGATCTTGTTTTATTCAGAGCGAAGGTAGATTCAACGAGGCGATGCGCAATTTCCCTGGACCACTTTGCAGGTAAAATGCCAAAATAATGGCTGGTTTAAGACGATTTCATTTCTGGAGTCAGGATATGATTGATAGGGAATTTTTCGGCACTAAGACTGTATTATCACTCAGCATTTGAAAAGCATACAAATTTTATTTATTTTCAATGTTTTATTCTACTTTATTATATGTCTAGAATAGTTCATCGGCCATCAACTAAAATCAAGCATTCTGATTGGTTCCTGAGCGGTCGGTAACCAACAGTACGGACCGGCCAGGTTCGGCGGGAATTTTTTAGTTGGGAATTTTAAACGTTTTTAGTCATATAATAAATAGTTTATTGACTGAGCTTGTTCGGTCCGTACAGGAGGATACTGATCTCATTCTTTTTTCGCCGTCCTGTACGGACCTCTCGCTCAGTCAATAACATATATGTATTTTTCACAGGGGCAAAACCCATAAACGGGATGTTGTAAAGTATGCCAAAGAGATGGCCATGATGGCTTTCAACAACCAAAGCGATTCTTTTGAAAAACGCGAGGCTGTCTACATTCTTTGGCAAGTGTTGGCTGTTATGGTCCAACAAAATGGGGTAAGAACTACATTCAGTCTTTCTGCATGCATAAAAATTATAAAGATTGTGTGATTAGCTCGCTTTTAAACAGTCTGAAAGCACTGGATCAAAATAATTTCTAAGTAATCTACGTTTGAATATGCAGAGTTTTTAACTCTTTCTGTTGGCCTTTTCTTCATTGTTGAACTGCGATCTTTATTCCAGGTGTACCTCAACACCGATATTGCCGAGGTTCTAACCTCGGACTACCCGAAGATTCTTATACAAGACGGGAACGTAGTTCTTCAGCTCTCAAAGGGTATCCTTTGCAGCTGATGGGCAAGATTATTCCAAACACGATCAAGTCGCGACATATCGAGAGCTTCTCTTGGCTGGCAAAACACAGGTACGCTGTTTATTAATCTTGCCATCGCTTTTCTCTTGCCTGACGAAAGCCCGCTCTCCTCCTGGCGAATTCGTTCGCACGAAGTGGTAAAAAGTACAGAAGGATTAATCTTTACCATACGTGCGCTTGTATTGAAAGAAGCATGTGTAGAAAAATACCTTTGAATATTGTTGACCTGTTAGACGTAGGAACTACTCCATGCAGAAGATCTAGAAAGCAATTCATTCTATCTACAGTTTCTTTACGGTTTTTTTAGAACAACACTGCACGTGCAAATAGTTTGGCCGTTATACGAGCTTAGAGTTATTCATGAATTCTGGCTATATATTTATACCCGCGGCGAAGTGGAGAACAATACAACTGTTTTAACATTTATTCATTTCACTCCATAGGAAGCTCTGGAACACGCAGTAAACTCCAAGATCTGGGGCCACGCCTTGATGCTAGCATACCACACTGACCAGAATGTATTTTCGAATATCATGGAAAGGTAACGACATTTATTCTTTGCTTGCTATATTTGAATTATTCTGCTTGTTGTTTACACGTTTCTCTCAATTGTGTTCTTGCTTGATCTCTCCTAACTGCTTGCAAATCTCTATTTTTCCATATTGTACATGTGTCAGTATATTTTCCAATGCTTTTTCGCATTGTTTATTGTAGATTCAACAGTCAACTTAATGAGGACGACTCCTTGTTATGTTTGTATCAGCATCTCGGGTCTAAGCGACCTTCAATTTTAGATGTGAGTTTGAAGAATTATCTGGACCAATGTGGTTCACAAACCCGGTACAGTTCACGTAGAATTTATAAAGTACTTTTTTTTTGTCAAAATTTAGAAAAAGACAAGGTCGATGGAGAAAACATTTGGCAATCATGATTTCAAATCCATCCAAGTCAACCGCTAAAGATAGCGAAAATATTCATGCACTTGGCGCGAGCTTAGGTAAGTTCAGTTTGGATAAGCCAGGGATGGTAATTTGGCCGGGGGGGGGGGGGGTTGTGTTGGCCAATATCACAATCCAAGCTACGTTGTGGTATGCGTGATCAAGTTGATGCATTTTCACATACGGTGATAACTGCTTAAACAAGTCACGAGGACACTGGCAACGTTTCCTTCAAGAGATTCTTGTTTCGATTGACACTTTAGGTGAACGACATACTGCTTGTGTTTGTTGCTATCATGCAAAATGTTACTTTCTCTTTTCCAGAGTCTCGTGGCCTGATTGAAGCAGCTCATCTTTGCTATATATTAGCAGGAGAAGAAATTAGTAAACAGAGTGGCACACTGTTACTAGGTTATTCTTCGAAGTAAGTTGAAGAGTCGCATTGTCTGTCTGCTTAATGAACATAAAGGTTCGTGGTTCATCTTCTCACAAACTTAAACTCTTGTTTTCTGTAGTGAAATCCGACCAGAATTCGTGGATTTCCTGGCTCTTCAACGCACAGAGGTAGATCGCAGAGATGCTTACAAATCCTTTATTGAAGCCGCTATACATCTGCCATGCAGCATGCTCTAGAATTCTCTCTTATGTTTTTTTCACTTTGCTACAAACCCTTATTCCGCCATTGCCTTTTAATCGCTTTATTTCCACTCTGCTTGCCAGTCGACCTAAACATTCATCCGTTTTTGCCTGATACATGCATGTGTTATAAAATTGTTTAAAATAGTCAAAAGGTATTCTGTTTGTATTCTTGTTAACCAACAACATGTTCCTGTAGATATATGAATACGCTATGAGCCTCAAAGATGAAAATTTTATAATAAAAGATTTCCAGGTCAGAAATTACTTCATTGTAGATTTCTCTAATGTGTGTTGAACTTTGAAAAGCAAAGAAGTGCCGCATAAGTTGTTCAATTCAGCGTGTCACTTTACTTCGTATTTCAATACTTGCTTACGTTTCCGCAAATTGCGGGGATATCTATTCTATAGAATAAGATTTTTTGAGATCAGAAGATAATTCTATACTTGGTTGGTCCTGGAGTTGAACCTTCGCTGCACATTCTTTAACGTTATGTTTTTTTCAGCCATGGAAAGAATTGTACGTCCATTCATTGGCCGATTCCGGATTCCATAATAAAGTAATTGTTATATCTTCGTTTGACTTATGGTGTTACTCCACAACCTTCACAATCTTTGATTTAACACGCGTGCATTGTCTTATTTAGGCATTTCGTTATTGCGAGAAATTGGTAGATGATGTCTTGAAGCATTCAACATCCTTTACTAAAGATATGATAACGCGACTTCATGCGGTATGTCATCATTTCTCGCCTTACCTTTCGTTCCCGTTCTCAAGTAAAACTACGCATATTTGTTTAAAATAGACGTTTTAGGCCTGTTCTAGCCTTCGCTCAAATCAAGAAATCAAAAGCGGATAATGAAATTTTTGAATAGTTTATTGTTTTCAGATACAACCTGATAATTATACACATGGTGAAATCGTTTGATGCTCAAATTTTCTTTCCTTACAGTTATCCATGAGACTTTACAGACGAGAATTTATTGCGCCGTTATTAGATATGAACGGACGCCTGCAACAATTGTTAGATCTACTCAAGGTACGAAGTATATTTTTATTTTACATGATTTTTATGTCGATCCTAAAATCTGCAAGTGAAACTTTGCGATCAACAATTAGACAGCGTCGTTTCTGTGAGGACACGCCAACTGATGCTGTCCTGGAAGCATGCTTGCAGTTTTCCATGCGAAACGTTTCTAAGGCGTGTTAAAAATTGTCTTTTTAGGAAAACAACGAAACCTTAGGGCACTCGTTCTTGTCTACTAGCAGCTGGAAAACATTGGCGCAACAACTACCTCAGCAATCGCAACTTCCACAGGAAATGCCGTATGAACACACGCAAAACATTGATAATAAAGAAGTTCAAAATTCCACTACAATGGTACCTACAATGTTTGTTCCTCAAACAAATAGTGACATAGTCCAGGAACAAGTTTTATATCGCGAGGACAACAAAGCTTCTCAGAGTTTCGCTCAATTCGAGCCCACCGCTGCACCAAGTGGCAACATGTCCTACACCGGGGAATTTCAAGCTCAAGAACCAGTACCATCGCAAGGGAATTACCACTACGGGGTTGCTCCCACCGACCAAACTCTTCCACCGGAGAATTACCCCTATGAAAATGTCGCACAAGCAGTTCCGAGCAGCATAGAGCACGATGAAACAGGATTACCAAGTTCTGGCACAAACTTCTACGAAGGGGACTCTTTTGAGCATTTGTTACGGAAGCAGCCGAGTAATGCTAGTGTTAACGCAGTCGAAACAAGTGAAATTTCAGCGCCTGCGACTTCAGATAATAGTTTTGATTACTACGCTCAATCTAACTTCAGGGTAAGTGTAATGTTTATTAAGAATTGACCCTTCGGTACCCAGATCGCCCAGAAATCCTGGTAACCTTATTTGGAATAGATTAAACTCAGTATTATGGAGAGATGTTTGCACCAACTTTAGATGAATAGGGCCTTTACTTGAACAATTTAGACCCGAGTAGGCATAGGATATTAATTATTTAACGAGAGTACGTTACTAATATTTAGTTTCTGTAAAATCGTTTTTAGGAATCAAATATTGCGAATGGCGCAAAGAAGGAAGAAACTCAAGCCCAGACCAAGGAAGAGAAGAAGACCAAAAAAGACGATAACAAGAACTCAGAGAAACAGAGTGGCGTAAGTTTTTTACAGTTTCAAATTGCAGATTCAGAATCAACCCGGAATTGAGAAACATGCAGTAATCGTATTGAGCTAATTGTTGACCGTTAGCGAAACATGTTCTGTGTTTTCCGAGGTCTTGTTTTATAGTTTGTGTGCGTAGGTATATGGTAGAAAACAGATGTTTCAGCAAGTTTATTTGTTAATTTATATTGTGTGTAAGGGGGAGGTTGTTTTAAACAATGCTTAAACCAACGAAATTTTGATTTTCATTTTATTTAGGGATTATTTACGTCATTCGGCGGTTTCTTCAAATCTTTCATTCCCAAAGGCAAGAACGAGATTATCTTACCTGACGATAAGAAGAAAACTGTAAGTTATAGTGCCTTGCTTCGAATATGTGCCTTTCAGCTTTTGTTTACCAAAATATATATTACATTATGATTTATTGTTTAAAAAGTTTCGTATATGTTTACTCTTTAGATCTATTGGGACGAAAAAGAAGGAAAGTGGGTGAACACGGAAGAAGGTGAAGAGGTAATGTAAAACATGGTTTATTTTGTAGTGTGCATGCAAAGGTGTGTATATTTTCTTTCTTCACAATGCACACGCTTATAAAGCTGATATTAATCTTTGTTCTTTCATTAAAAAGGAGAAAGCTGATTTGCCTCCACCACCAATTGATCCATCTTTGATTGGCGGTGCCCAACCTGTCATGCCTACCATCCCATCAGGAACTGTTAGACAACCTACACAAACATCTGGTAAGCAACTTGTAATGTCGACTTGTAAATGAAGTATTTTTACTGGCATATATACAAGTCTGATCCCCAAAACACATCTTTCAAGAATTCAACGTCTTCATTTCTACAGACCTCATCAGCCTAATTTTGAATTATAAGATAGTGTTAATAAAATTTATATTTGCATTATATTTGGGAAAGGGAAAATATAATCTGAGTATGTAAAGACATAAAACTGTTATGTTGCTATAACAAACTCCGACTTCCTCTTTGTCTAGGCACATCGAGTGCAGCTACCGGTTTCTCAAACACACCGCAACTTCCAGCATCCCAGGCTTCATCAGCGTCGCAAACTCCTCCCGCGGCAAACGCTCCACCAATCATTCCTGGCGCTTTTACTCCTGATCAACCAGAAATATCGTTGATTAATTCACCATTATCGACACCTAGCCGATTTTCGCGTAGAGCTCACAGCTCGAAAGGTATCATCTAAAATATGTTAATAATGATTAGAGCGGAGATTTCGATAGGATTATGGCTTGGTTTGAGCATAGACAATCCTGTCTTTTAGATTGTCTATGGTTTGAGAGACTCTAGATTGTTTGGATTAGAATTCTACATTTGAACTTTGAACTGTTGTTTCAGGACATAGATCGAACTATGTTGATGTCTTGAGTGCCTCAGGGGCAACGACGAAACCTAACGAAACCGCGTCACCTCTCCTTTTCCAACCGTTTCCAGCACCACCAGGAAATCAGGCACCAATAGCAAGCAGTAAGTGTTAAAGAACGAAATCGCTTACTTACACCTAGTAGCCTAGTGTTATCAACTATACATCACCAACTACAAAACGTTTCGACTATCTTTAGACATTCTGTCGAATACTGAAGGATCACCGATGCCGCCAGCTAGGTATGTGAAAATACCACTTTGATTTAACAATACGTCTTGATACGCGATGTTTAATTTTTTCGTTGACAACAAAGTTCAAAATGCGCGAGAATCAAATCCAACGATTCAGTTTTGTTATTCTTTGCAGTGTCTTGTTAATATCTGTGAAGAGTATTCTTAAATAGTGATGTATTATAGGGTGGATATATAATATTGATCCCAAATAAGTACTAATATTGTTGTTTGTTTTATATACAGTCAGAGCAACGGCGTTGACCAGAGCAGTGTAGCCAACAATACTGTGGAGGAACAGCCGACTAAATCACAGGTAAATGAAAGAATAAGGCCACCGTTATTGCACGTTTAACTGGATCTTCCCATCTTTTGGAACGCAATTTGTGTGACTAGGTTTGCCAGCTATCTTAAAATTGTAAATAAGTTGCATGAAAGGCGGAATAAACAAAATTGCCCATTATGTTCAAGGCTTAAAACCCTTAGTTCAAGTGTCAAGTGTCAAGTGTCACTCATAAAGGAATCCTTTCTGTTTCGATACTATCCTCAGGATGTTTTCCTAAGTGAGGAATGATTATTGAGTGTGGTTTTCCTTTCAGGATTCTCAATCGTCTCCCGCCGTGCGGTTTTTCAATCCAGCTGATTACGTATCAACACCTTCGCCGTCGTCCAGTCGGGGCAGATTATACCCAAGAGCAAAATAAAAAAGCAAAAAAAAAGAAAACGCAGTAAAATGAAAAACAGTATAAATACAGTATTAAATTTATGTAAATTTATGAGAAATTGATGAGCAATGAGTGATTGTTCATTTGAATGATAAAGCTATTTATCAGTATTATTTAGATATGTGTAATAATGTGTGTCCTCAAGGCACGCCATAAAATATGGAATAAACTACACTCTTCTACAAGCATTATTCTATCGTGTGATTGTTTTTATCGCTGAATGACGATGCAGATAAATTACAATAATATTACATGCGCCGGTGGATGAACTTTGAGCATTTTTCTGTCGACGCCAACCGTAGTAGCGTTACTGGCGCCACCAGTCTCCCCCTCCCCATTCAAATCGCTCACTCCCCAGAAAAATCCTATTTCGGCATATGAACCGGTATGGAGAAGAGCGAAAGGCAATCGATTGGCCCCAATTTGACCTTCTATATGTTTTGCTGTGTATCTATGGTCGTAATTGACGTCATGAAGAACGTCAAAATGTGTTTGTTCTTCAGTCATTTAGTTTTTTGCGTGTCAACGGAGTGCCAAAACTGAAAAAAATTTATACCCGTTCTAAATCTTTCGGGTTATGGTGTAAAGGGGCAGTAACGACATAGACTATGTAAAGTGTAGACGGTCCAAGTTTTGCAAACGCCTTGCCCTACGCCTCCCCCTTTAGCTCGAATCATTAATTAACGACTAATCCATGGAAACTATGACAATATGTACATGTTTTTTATATAACATCTGAAAACGTAAAGGACACATAATGAATTGCAGATTGCGTACAAAGTACTAATGTTTCATGAATAACGAGACAGGAATAACGTAATACACATTTACTGTATTATTAAAACGGTGCGTCTCCATATTTTATACAGTATTTAGGTATTTACTGTTTTTGCTATAAACAATACTAACAATACGTGGGCTCGCGTGTACCGGGGGGTGAGTACGGCACTTATATAGCGCCGTGCGGCCGGTTGTATCAAAGGCGGATAAGTTATCCAGTGGATAAGTCCTATCCACTGGATAAATCTCCTATCCAGTGGATGGCTATCCGCGGGATAAAAATGCGTTGTATGAAGCACGGATAGCAGGGTGAATAACTATTCACCGGATAGCTGTTTATCCTAAGCTCGTTGCTATGCAGTTACTAAGCAAAATGACGATTTTACTTTACATTTTTGCCAAAAAATTTCCAAAATGGTGACCATTAATATTGAGAAAGCGAAGCGATCTCGTAAACCAAATTTTTCGCCGTCAGAGTGCACGCTAATTCTGACAGCAGCGGAAGATAATTTAGCTGTAATCCGGAATAAATTTTCCAGTGTTTTGACGAACAAAAAAAAGCAGAGGTCTGGCAAATGATAACAGAAAAGGTTAACGCATTAGGAGTCGCCAAAAGAACCACAGACGAAGTTAAAGATAAATGGAACAATGATTAGCAGTGCCAAGAAGGATTTCAGCAGAGAAAAAATCCAAAAACAAAAGACCGGGGGGGGGGGAAGGCGCCAAAATCTGTGAGCGAAGTAAATCGACGAATCATCGACCTTTTTGGTGATGAACCCGCCTTTTCCGGAATACCGGGGGGTATTAATCGGGTACGTTTCACATTTGTGAACCATCATTCCATCAACAAAACAAAACTACAAAAGTAGTGCCTTTTTGATGCGTGAGAAAGACAGCCATTTTTAACATGATAGTCCATATTAAAGAATGCCTATCATACAAATATAGCCATTATTTATGTGAACGCAAATTACGCCGTGCACGTACGAAGACACCTCATGGGTTTCACAATTAGACAAGTTCTAAATATATTACAAATAGATTTTTACATTTTACAATAATTTATAATAGAATCGAATATATTTATTTGCTATTTTATTAATTTATGCAATATTTTTCGTAGGTTCAGAAACATCAACACATAAAAAAGAAATAAGTGAAGATGAATTGAACATGATGTCCACCATGGACCAGGCAACACTTCATGAATTATTGGGGCACGAGGAACATCCAGATGACCTTAAGAAGCCTTCACTAGGTGGAATTGCACCAGTATGCCTTGTTACACCTGGTGCAGATCATGACATGTGGGGCCAGGAAAGCCAGGCATCCGCACCTCAGCCTTCCTCAGCATCAGTAATCCCTATGGCTGCAACGCTCAGAAATCCAGATTCCACTGAAAGCTCAAAACTACCCACTAACAGCACGAGTAACAACACAGGATGTACAAAGAATGCAAATTGAAATTCTGGAGTTGGAAAAAGAGAAGATCTTGATAGAAGTAGAAAATATGAAGCTTTTGAACAAAAAGTACAAACTTGAGGTGCAAGAATTGCAGGCAAGGCAAGGGCAAGACTTACTTTGATTTTTTTGAATATACTATATTTTATTATTTGTTCATGATAATACTTAATTAAGTTCAATAATTTAATCTTGAATCACTATGTGTTAGATGACCACCTGCCACAAGAGAGGTTGAAAGCATTTTCTAGAAATAGAAAATGCCTTAAAATATGCCCATCCCTTTTAATATATTATTTTACACCATATTTTTATACAAAGCCAAATTGGATTGTAATAATTAATTTTAACTTAGCTTTGTCTGAAACCAATTTCTCTATACTAGAGCAAATCTTTACTCTCTGGGTATCAGTATAATTATATATGTGTAATAATGTGTGTCCTCAAGGCACGCCATAAAATATGGAATAAACTACACTCTTCTACAAGCATTATTCTATCGTGTGATTGTTTTTATCGCTGAATGACGATGCAGATAAATTACAATAATATTACATGCGCCGGTGGATGAACTTTGAGCATTTTTCTGTCGACGCCAACCGTAGTAGCGTTACTGGCGCCACCAGTCTCCCCCTCCCCATTCAAATCGCTCACTCCCCAGAAAAATCCTATTTCGGCATATGACTTTCGGGCAAGACTTACTTTGATTTTTTTGAATATACTATATTTTATTATTTGTTCATGATAATACTTAATTAAGTTCAATAATTTAATCTTGAATCACTATGTGTTAGATGACCACCTGCCACAAGAGAGGTTGAAAGCATTTTCTAGAAATAGAAAATGCCTTAAAATATGCCCATCCCTTTTAATATATTATTTTACACCATATTTTTATACAAAGCCAAATTGGATTGTAATAATTAATTTTAACTTAGCTTTGTCTGAAACCAATTTCTCTATACTAGAGCAAATCTTTACTCTCTGGGTAAGAAAATGTAGAAAGATGTGATATTTTTTTTTGCATGCAGGCTAGACCAGCTTTTTTTTATTGGGTGAATTTAACAGGTTGAGTGCAAAGGTTAATAGTTTAATAATTGTTTGCAATGAAATAATTCAATAAATTTACCTTGCGATTCTTGTAATTTTTTATGTTTTTCACAGAATAAATTGAAGTGAGAATCAAGTCTAAATGTGTAAACAAATTACCAGCACACAGTTTATCTATATATTTAAACATGCCATAATTTTATTTTAAAAATACCATTACAGAGGCCATATAGTAATTTAGTTATAGCTTTGCCACCTAAGTACTATTTACAACTTTCATGTATAAGATAAAGTTTCAAAAGGCTCCAACTTATTAATGTCAAAACAATGTTAAATCTTGGTATTAATTTCAATCAGAGGCAGAAATATCACAACTTGTTTGAAGAATATTAGAAGTATGTGTTCGTTATGTGATTGCGAACAGCCGTTCCCCTGTTCTCACCATCATAATTATGTCCTAAGTCTGGTAGGTCTTGATGTTCATCGTCATCATTTTCCATGGGTTCGTTGTTTTCAATTGCTATGTTGTGGAGGACACAGCATGCGGCAACAAGTGTACATTCTAATTTCGGAGATGGCATTCTAATTTCGGAGTGCAATAGATGGAATCTTCTTTTCAGAATTCCAAATGCTCTTTCAACTGATGATCTGGTTACCTTTTGTGCCCTGTTGAATCTTCGTTCCTTAACTGTTACTGGATCGTTGTATGGTGTCATTAGGTAAGGCAGGCAGGGGTACCCACTGTCTCCAAGAAGAACGCCATCATCCAAAGACGTTCCTTCCAAAGCTTGTGCAATAGCCGAGTTACGGAAGATGTGGCTGTCGTGGGTTGAGCCTGGCCACCTTGCAACAACATTAGTAAACTTCCCTGGATTGGAAAAAAAGAATCACAGATATTTCTAATTATTTTAGCAACCCCTAAGGGAGTGGTCATGAAGAAATATAATATATTGTGGGGGTATCGAATAATTTTGAAAGAATTGATATCCCGGCCCCCACCCTAGGTGGCATGCACTTTATGACTGCTCATCAATTACAGCCCCTAATGTGTTACCAGTAAAGTACATGCTACTGGGGTGGAGGGATATAACTTTTTGATTATATTAATAATACATGTTACACCGCAAATTTATCTTGCTAGTCAAAACTATTGCCAAGAGATGAAGTAACTAAAGCTAGCAGAAAATTTCACTAAATATGAAGGAGACAAATTGTCGAGAATAAAGCTTTTATTTCGTGACTTAATTTTATGACTTAGTATGATTTTATTTTAGCAATTTTCCTAAAATAACAGTGATGGAAACGAGTGAGTTGATCTAGACCGGAAATGTGCCAATTAAACTTATTGTATAATGATAATGTAAACAAATGTACCGTACAATACCTTTGTGATGGCATATTCCTTGAATGTTTATGCTGTGGTACCCCTTTCTGTTTACGAAGTCGGGTTCGTTGTCAGCTGGTGCTATAACTCTCACGTGTGAACCGTCAACACAACCAACAACACATGGAATGCCTCCAAGATCATAAAAACCTTGTTTGATGATATCTTTTTCTTGTTGTGTTTGCGGAAATTTTACGTAGTTGTCAAGTTTTGCAGCTATAAGCAAAGTTACTCGACGAACAACCCTGCTAACCGTAGCCTTGTCTACTCCTGCAATAGTATCTCCAACGACTTGTAAGAAACTCCCAGTAGCCAAAAATCTCAAGGTTATTAGGACTTGGTTTGTAGCCGAAATTGGGAAGGTTCTGTTAGTCGATGGCCTTATATCGTCTTCAACAAGGCGAACGATGTTGTAAATTGACTCTCTTCCGAAACGGTAACGGGCTCGTAATTCACTGTCGGAGTAATACTGTAAAATATCATCGTCTGGTATTTCTCTCCGAAAAACTCTATCTGCTCTTATATTTGCGCGAGGTAAGATCTATAAATAAAAGCCGGGAAATCGGTATAAAAGCGCCATATTTGCTCTCGAAATAATAACAACAATCAATTTTATTTTATTTTATCCAGCGGATAGTGAATTTAAACTACAGGGGCCGGTTGTATCAAAGCCGGATAGCGCTATCCACCGGATAGCGATTTTTTCAACCGTTCTAAAAATGCTCGAAAAGCGATAAAATTTCAGCTTGGAAGCAGCAATTAAATTAAAAAGGACCTTCGATTTAGGAATAATAAGATTTAATCAAAGTTGTAGCAAATAACAGGCAATTTTGAAGCGATTGAAAAAAACACTATCCGGTGGATAGCGCTATCCGGCTTTCATACAACCGGCCCCAGGCCTCCGGACCTCGGATAAATTTATCCAACGGATAGTGGATTTTTATCCGTCGGATAACGCAATTTTAAGCTTGAATAAAATTTATCCGCCGGATAGGGATTTATCCGCCTTTGATACAACCGGCCCCAGGGCTCAACAAGAGCTAGCGCGGCCAGTCACGTGACTTTAGTTTTGGCGGGAATTTGTATATCCTTTTCCCAAGAATTTGAGAACGATTCAAGGTATGCAAATTTATTTGCATTTTTTCAATTGTTTTTTATACAACTTTGTTTCCCTTTTTCTTTGAAGTACTTCTTTCAGTATATTATACCTTAATTTTATACATTCTGTTTATATTAGGATGGTTTTAGTGTTATATTCGGAACAAAATCATTTTTTAAACAAAGGATCTTTTAATTTATAAACTTTATTATAGATAAAAAATTGTTGTTTTGTATTTAAAAATCTTGTCAAATGCTTTATATGCCTTACTCAGAGCGAATTCAAACACTGTAAAATTAAAATATGATTTCTTCAGGCAATAAACTCATTTTATGACAAGTACTGAGTTTATATCTGAACCACAGATTTTTAGCTAGGTTGCATGTCCTGAAGCAAAGGTTTTCTTTGGTTGTTATAACTGGCAGAATTTGCCCAGTATTGTAGTACTATAGTACTTTATATATAACCTGAATTATTCATTATATGGCAGCCAATTTAATATGCATGTAATTATTATAAACCCTTGTAATTATTGTATTCTCTTGTGGTGTTTATTATAGGGCTCTTTCTAAATATGTACAACCAGTTGTACTACAAATTTTACCCTTTGAAAAATTTGCTTAGAATATGTACTTATCTCCAGCCAGATCCTGGATACATTAATCTTAATTGATTGCATACCTGGATATACCTGGAGCCAGTATATAAGAATAATTTTTCACTGACAAATTTCTGCCATGAGTACTGTACATATATGTTTCATTCCAAATACATATATTAATTCATGTGAACAGACATACTATAAAAACAATTAATCAAATTAAACAGAATTTAAACTAATAATGCTGGGGCCGGTTGCATAAAACCCTTTAACACTACAATTTGCATAGTTAAATCCTATAGTTAACTTAGAAATACATAACTCTGATTGGCCAATTCTGTCCTTAACTGCAGTTAAAAGTTAACTTATTAAGTCTTTTATACAACTGGCCCCTTGCATGAACATGCAATTAATATATGAATATTTGCCCCCCCACTTACTGTAATGATCTTCCACAACCCCAGCATTTATGGATAAACTGAAAAATGTACTTGAATTTTGCATGGTGAGTTCACAAAATTTTACTTAATTATTATTCAGTTCCTAGCTGGAACACTAAATGTATTTATTATATATGCAGAGCTAGATTTTTGACTTTTAACCAAGGCCTTTCACCCTGATTAAGCTACCTTAATTTGTTTCTTTATATTCAAACTGATGCCTCATCTATAGACATGATCATGATGAATGCATAGGGATCAAGAGTAATTTTAATTTTTAATTTTATTCTGCACCAAATATATCCCTATATAACCGCATGTGCTGAAGCAACGCCTTTATTGCTGGACACTATGAATACTGTATGTGCAAATAATTTAGATCCAGTGATTTGACAACTAAGCAGTTAAATTAAAGAGAAATTCTTAACAGGTAAAATTCTTAAACACTCAGTTAAAATGTTCTGTTAACAAATTTTTATAGGACCAATATTTTGCCCATATGATATTCTATGAAAAAAATGTGACAATTATGACCACATGATTTTTACATGATTCGGGACTAAATTGTGGTGGGCTACAACACCGTCTACCGATATTCCATCACCGTGCTGTTACAGACACATGATATACAAATATCAGCTAGGTCCAGTTGTTCGAAAGGTGTTGAGCTTAAACAGTGTATGGATAACCCAATGTTTACAAACTCATACGTACATCGACCTTGTGAATGACTGAACAGGTGTTGAAAGAACTTTTCATAAGGGGGGAGAGGACTGCGTCTTTGCGGAAAAAAGGTCATGGTGAGATCCTGCAGCACCTTTTTTTTCTTTTTTTTTAAATTTCCCCCCATATATATATTTCAGTTTGGTGACTGGTCACCTTCAGTGACAAAAACTAGGACAGTAAAAGAGTCTATGGCATGAACAACCCCCGGTTTCAATGGGCAGCTGAACCTGCATCTTTTTATTCTTTTGCGCTAAATAATATGTACTTAATTTCATTGAAAATTAAACTATTTACCTTGACATATCTCAGCTAGCTCAGTTATTCAAATAATGGATGACAATTTTGTTTTTCGATCATTTTGAACTTATCCACCGTTCCAGTTAGACGCCCTTCTGACAAATGGCTCTGAACATCTCTATTAATCAGTAGTCTCCTTCAGGTCATTGCTCCGAGGCGTACTGGTTTTTACTGACTCCTATATACTCTATAGTTTTACAGATAAATATTTCGTTCAGGTTTTGAGTTTCTATGGATGATCATGACGAAAGAATGGTACAGAATACAGCTGCATTGGATGATTTAAAATTATTGATTGAGAGTATTAAATACCGACACGAAGATTTAGATTTTCAGGAGCAAGCTCTGAAGACCATGGCATCTATATTTCGAACCAGTGGTAAGATTACTACATTCACAGTGTATTTTTTTAGTTGTCTTTTTATTTAGACGTTCAATAGCCAGATAGGCATGAAAGATTTTTATGCATGAAAGATGTCTCTCTTGGAATGTGGCAATGATATAATTGCTCACGTGTTAATGCTATTGGCACGGCCACCTCCTGCTATTTCTCAGAATTTCTTGATTGTTATATGGCGTTCTATTTGGTCTGGATCGGGCTATTTTTGTTTGACCGCTCATAGCATTTCTGTGCATGAGAAGTGCGACGTTTGACCTGTAGGCCTAATGCTCCACCGTCCAGGTTTATACACTTCTATAGGTTGTTATTTTTGAAGTTCACATCATTATTTACAAATTTCCTTTTACAAGACCTCCGGCCAAGGTCAGCAAAACACACTGCTTTCCCGAGGTCAGTCAATAAATAAGTGATATATTTGTTGTTATATCTAGTGCCAAAATGAAAATAAACCAAAGAAGAGCTCATTCCTTGACATGTATAGATTAGAATATGAAACAATATAAAGTTAACTTCAAAAATTTTCCTGCTATTTCAATGGTCGTGCTGCTAGGGAAAGCATAGCAACAGGCATGAAATTTCATAATAGGGAAAATTATGAGATTTGATGCCCGCTCGTGTTGATCACGCGTAATCATGGCGAAGATTTGAGGCCCTCCACGCGTGGATCTATTATTGTCCAATAGGAAAGAAGAAAAGATGAATTGTGACACTAGGTATATAACAATAGAATGTACTCGCTATAGTTTGCTGGTTTGGTTCTTTCTAGACAATACATCGAGCTTCTTGGTTCATACGAATGGTTTAGAACACATCTTAAAGATAGTGATATCCCCTGACGACCAACCAAACTCGCTTAGAGAGGCTTCTCTACATGCATTGTGCGCCGCTTGTGAAAATAATGGTAATGACATATGCTGTCCATGTTAAACTTACAATAGTTTGGAGACTAGAGACATTATTATGTAGTTCTTGCATGTAACGTATTAGCTTAGGCCTACTGTATATAATAATCTGACAATGCTGATATGGTTTTCCTTGGATTATTAAGGGTCTGGTAATGATTAAAATAAAAGATAGTATTAGTGTCAGGGGAGGCTTTAGTTAGGGATTATTAAGATCAACTTTGTTAATAGATTTTTAATATGAAAATTGATCCAGGGAACTATTCGAATCCCTCTCTTTTCTCTAAAGGGTTGGGTAAAAGAGCTTATGGGGTTAAAATATGAAAGCAATGAATTACCTAAATTCTTTCATAAATTATTGTGTATAAATCAGGTAAATTAATATTGTGATGGTGCTGCTCTGAGTTACAAAAAGGTCAAGCTGAAAATTACTTTGATTGTTGAGGTTTTCATTCAGGGATATTCACGTTTCATCACTGTTCTTGTAATTTCAGCTAGCGTCCGGCAAGTATTGTGCACGCAAAAGATCTTTTGTGTACTGAAGAAATTTTTGTTGATGAAATCGTCGATAAGATTGCAAACAATCTCTAGTTACTTACTGATTTGTCTAATTAAAAACAACCGTAAGTAGAATGTTAATGGTGATTTATGGCAACACGAAGTAGGATCAAATGCGGTGAAATTCTCATCAGCCGTACCAATACTTCTTCAATTCTTTTTTCTATTCCAGAGAAAGGGCAGAATCTGGCGAGGCAGACAAAATGCGTTGAAACATTACGTTACCTTTTCAAGTAAGTTTTATTCCCATATAGCTATACTCTGTAGAAACAGACTGTTAACACAACTCTTAGTTAACAAATTAGTTGTCCCAGATTCATGCAGCGAAACCCCGCGCCTCGGTAAAACGATAACATGATAGAAAGTAGGCATAGCAACTAGCAACAGCCGTATATTTTCCGGTGAACTCTAATACAACTGGAACGATAACTCAGGGGGGGGGGGCTCAAGCCGACTTTGTGCTCAGTTTGCAAGTAGATCCACTCTTTTTTAAATATTTTTGTGAAAAATAAACATTTTTAAATCGATGAAGTTTTCATAATTTTAAATTTACTTTACTTTACTTCGTAAACCCGAAGTATCACGACTGAATTTCCCAAATATGTAATCAGATTTAAAAAAAATGCTGCCGTTACGAAATGATATTAAAACAAACACGAAAATGACAAAAAATCCGCGTTTTTTCGGAATTTTTGTTGAAAGTTTGAGATACATCTAAATCTTCAAACTACCAAAATAGTGTACATAGATTGTTCTTAAATACACCTACTCTCTTAGTTTGGGAAAAATGGGCCCTTGTGGAGAGAGAAATACGAGGTTTAAAAACAAGAGCATATTATCACCGAAAATTAATGAGGCACAACTAGATCCAGGTTGTATATAAAGCCCAGTGTTGTTGACAAGTACTGGAAAGTTATCTAACAAACAAAAATGTGATAAAATTATAGATATATCAAAAAGACAACATGCCACATGCTTGTGTTGTGTGTGGAAAGCAAAATGAAGCAACAAAAGAAAATGAATACAATCTGTACCTTAAAACATTTTTTTACTACATAAGGGTCCCCTTTGGCAGATAAAACATGTTTAAACAGATGGGAGAAAATTGTAAAAAAGTTAAAATCAACCAGATAGTTGGAGAGCAACACGACACAGTTATATCTGTAGTAGGCATTTTGAAAAAGAAGATTATGTTCAGCC